CTTTGACAATTTAGCTGGCAAAAGACACGAAAAATCGTCGATTCTTTCGTATTTGAAGCAATTTGGAAATCGAAGCGGAATAGAATTTAACATTAGTAAATAATATAAAATAAATATTGAAAATTATAACGAGATAGTTACGGCTAATAGATATAATATAACTAAATAAATAGATGTTATATGTTTTTATCAAAGTGAGAATTAGCATTTAGAGGGCGTATGGAATATATTGGATTTAATAACAGAGGTAATTATATTAAACTTGTTTATTAAGTACGTCAGATAAATAATCTATTAAAAATACATTTAAAGAAAGAATTAACTGATTGCCCCTGGAAGCTGGCTTCTTATAGAAACACAGCTTCCCTATCATCAAATGTCACGGCACGCCCCTGTGATGAACAATTTAAATAATAATTAATATATGTGCTGGTCATATTTGTGAGGCTAAGATCATAAGGATAGTATTAATGAATGAGATGATTAATGTGCTTTTCACTTAATACTAACTTTTTTTTCTAATGCTATGCAGTGCCGGCCCGAGGCAAGTTTTAGGATGGAGCAAGATCCTATTATGGTGCTCCCCTTGGTTGCCCCTAATTTATACCCTTTAATTTTCTTTAACACTGAGGCGCCCCCTAAAACTTAGTGCCTGGAGTGGCTGCTCCGTTCACCCTACGGTAGGGCCGGCTCTGATGCTATGCTAGCCAATTCTGTTGTCGTGTTTTTTTAATATAACATGTTTGTGTTCCTCTGTTGTCAGATGTTGTTTCTCTTCTCTCAATCTATTTTATAATTTGATTTTAATTTTGTAAGCTTTTTATAATATATATATAATGAATATTAAATTTAGTTTATAAACAAAATTCATTTTATTTTCAGGACTAAACAACCAAATGGTCTTATAATGTATCATGGAATGAATGATTCAACTGGAAGTTTAGTATATGCATTATATCTAATTTTAGAAAATGCAAAATTGAGAGTAATACATAAAACTGACACATTTTCAGCAGATTCTTTTCATGTAGGGAAAGGTAAATTATATTTAAAAGAAAAATATATAAATTAAATTATAATGCTACCATGATTTTATATTTTACAAATTCTCTTATGTATTAGCTTTTTGATCAGACTTGGACAGTTTCTATTTCAAACCAGCAGATGAGTCCGGCATTGGCCGAGCAAAAAACAACAAAGATTAAGATTATTAGATTATTTCGTACTTCTAATCCTTCTATTCCAGTGGCTTGAGATGCCCCCTAGTGGGCATTCTAGCAGCGGCAGTGTCATTCCATGGTATAAATAATAAATTCCTATTACAAAGAAAAATAATAATATACCAAATTTATTGTTAATTTAAATAATAGCTAGGAGCACCTCTAGTGGCCATTTTTTGCATACAGTAACAGAAAGAAAGAAAGAAAGAATCCAGTTTTTCAGCTTTATATATATAGATATTTTGGAAGTATTTGGTATTCTATTTGAAATATTTTTCCTGGGAAATTCAGAGTATTTGTGTTTTTAAATACTTTAATTGTACTTGAAATATTGAGTACTTCAAATAATTCAGAATATTTGAAATATTCAAAAAATTTTAGATATTTCTAAAACACTGGCTTTTTCCTTTCATAATTAAGCACTGCTCCAATGCATGTGAAGACTCCCCAAAAGAGCAACAAAATCCCAATAACAGACAAAAATAAAATAGAGTGCAAAAGGCTAAAATGCAAAGCAGCAGAAGTATGACATAAAACAGAATATGCAAAATTAATAAGAACAAATGATGAAAAGAAGTAAAAAAATTGTAATAAAATTAAAATCATTTATTGATGTATTTGAGAAAACAAAATGTTAAGTATTGTTTAAATATTTTTAAAATTAAGTTTAAAATGTTTAAAATTGACAAAGTAATCCTAATATACAACCTGTTGACTTAACTGACCCTTAGAAAAATCAACATTGAAATGAACTTAAATGAATCATCCCTGAAATAAAATAAGTTTTTAATAAAGTATTACTTTGGAGTACTGTCATATTAATGGCATATGAGCTAAGTGGACCATTAAAATAGTCTATAAAAATATTCTTATAATATAATATAGAGTTATAGAAAATACTCCATACTCCAGGGGTCGCTCTGGAAAATTAAAAAATATTGTCACCATTTTGCCAGTTTTTAATTTTTTTCACCACTTCAAATTATTTATTGACACCAGTTTTACTTACTAATTAATGCAGGTGCTAGTAGCCTTATCAGTTTGGCATCCAGAAAACAAAAGTAACATGTTAAACTGTCACTTACAAGGCGAGGGCCAGATGTTCAGATCTCTGATTTGAACGGAACTTTAGTAAGCACATAGCCTTAAATACAAACAGCTCCTTGTCCAAATAACAGGACCCACTTCTCAAGCAATTCCAAAAAATGGGCATCTGAAAATTTAGTGTTTAGCTTTATAAGTCTTTGGAAGTTTCATATCCAAGAGTGGTGAATAAGATGCTAGACACTGGAGTAGACAATGTAGTTTTGAGCTTTCAAAATTTTAGTTTAGTTTTTGTGTATAACATTATTATTTTACTGCATTATTATTGGGCTGCAATTGTAAGGTCTCTGACAGAGACACGATGGTCAGGACTGACAAGGAGTCAAGAGAGTCACATGTGGGTGTGATTGGTACCAAGACAGACTCTAAGGTTACAAGAAATCATTTATTTGACACAATATTATATTGTCCTTTTCGTCCATGTGCAGTAACGTTCTAAGCTTATTCACTTGTGAAGACATAGTATGTAAAATATGTGAAAATAAATGTGAAGAAATAAAAGTTTTATTTAACAACTTAAAAGAATTAAATCTACAGAGGCTTATTTTTGCTAAACATGAAATGATGTCGCAATTTTTAATTTCTTGTTTTATACACTTTAAATGTCAAGAATAATAATAGTAATAATGATAATACCAATGCTGTGGTAAAATAATAAAAGAACAATATTACACATAAAAAAACTAAACTAAACTAAAATTCCAATGGTTCGAACTTTATTGTCTAGTTGCAGTACCTAGCATCTTATCTATCACCTCTCAGAGACATGAAACTTCCTAAGACTTGTAAGATAAACAATTAATATTTTGTGGTCAATGTTCCCTCTAAGCTATGCAGCCACGCACTGCTCAAATTGTTGCCACACAGGCAAGCATGCACACTGATTTGAATTGTTGTTTATTTATTTTTCACTCTGTCTGCAACATTATTATTGCTATGTATATTTCTATTAAATACATTAAATCATTGACAAAAGATAATATTTTGTATTGAAGTATGTTAGTATGTTTTAAAATGAATTTTAATNAAAAGTCAAGAATTTCAGAAAACCCAGGACCTTCATCACAAAAATGAACTTCATGTTTCTGTATGTATATGTTTGTGTTATGTAACATATATTATTATACAAATTAATATAAAAATATCTTAAAATTAAAGTAAACTCTGTTTATTTTTGGTCGTGTGTTCCCCTTTCCCTATTTACTACGTGTTAAAATGATCTCATTTAACTCTTTCATTTAGTGGTATGTTGTCTAGAAACATATCCTAAGTGCTAAACAAGGTCTTACTGTATAAAGATTTATAACTCATAATCATATTTTGTTAAATTTCAATTTTTTCTACTTGTTGTTTATTTTTGTTATTACTTATTTATTTTTTGTATATTATTTACTCTTTTATTTTTGCTTTATATTTTGATTTTGCTTTGCCAATCTTCTATGCATGCGACCTATGCATTTTCTATGTATGGATTTAAGAAGTTCCATTATATTTAAATTTTTTGGAGTGCTGTCTGACTCCCATGGCTGCTGGCATGAAAAGTTTTGCTCTCTAGTGATTTGTTTTTTCCTTGAAAAATGTCAGAGTTTCAGGCTCAGAAAACAAAACTTTTTCACCACTATCTCAAGACAGATTGCCATGAAATATAAGAAAATGAATCGGAAGCAAGGAAAATGTCTCAGATGAGTCAACGGAACAGTTAATCTTCACTTATATAAGTGCCAAAAAAGGAGATTGATGTTGAAGAAGGATTTGACTTCTGTTAAAATTGCAAGCTTCTTCAAATAGTAAATTACATGTACTTTTAGAGCATTTAGATAGAATGCAAGCATGGATTGAGAATATCGATACAGCATTAGTAGATGTGGAAAGTAGACTCTCTGCTCTTGAAACCGATAGAGAAAAAGGCTGTGTTAAGAATGCTAAATCAAATATAGAAATAGATATAATATGCAATAATCTCCATGAAAAGTTAATGAGACTAAAAGATAAAAAAAGAAAGAACAACATTGTAATATTAGGTTTAGAAGATAACAATAAAATGGACAATGGTTTAGTTAAGGTTCAAAAACTTTTAAATGATAATTTAAAAATTACAGATGTCAATAATAAACATGCTTTTAAAGTTGGAAAATTTAAATTGATTACAAAAAGACTGATTATTTGTGAGTTGTTTAATTTCAAGATAAATTAAAAATTTATAAAAATATTAGTAATTTAAAAGGTTCAAATATATTTATTAATGAGGATTATTCGAGGAATACCAAACTTATCAGAAACAAATTAAAGGATCTATGGTAAATAAATGTATTTAAAAGGAGCCAAGATTGTTAAAAATTATGATATAACAGATTATTCATAGATGACAAGATATTTGCATATAATTACAATGGTGAAATCTTCCAAACAGATAGAGAACAATGTTTTTTAGGAATATAGTTTATAATGACAAACAAGATGATAACATGAAACTTCTTTTCTACAATATTGTGGGTTTACATAATAAATACTGTTCCCCTAACTTCTGGAATATGATATACGAGGTCTGTTCAAAAAGTATCGGACTTTTATTTTTTCCGCGTAAACCAATGATGTGTGGGAAGCCTCTTTCGGTGGAGTTTTGGAGGGGACAGTCATGCACAGCCCTGAATTTTTTCCCGCCTGCAGGAAGCGTCAGTCGTTGGCAGTCGGCCTATGAGTGAGGACATGTAGTGAGCTCTCGTCAGATTCCACTGATACTCTGTATATACTATATATAATAAAAATAAAAAAAAAAGAAAATTGAAGACCCAAATAAATATATGCTGTTTTTGTAGATGCATGAAGAAGTAAGTTGCTGAACTTACTGAGGTTAAAATAAACTTCATTTAAAGAATGTGCAACTTTATCAATGAATATAGGAGAAGCTGATGCATAAACAGAAATCCCACAGTCCACTAAAAATTATTAAAAAAATAATGCATGCAGGACAGATTTAAATCACAAAGGCTAGAAGAACAACATTTACAAAGAATGCCACAGGGTCTCATCAATCCATTAAAAGTCTTAGAAATATGATGAAAGGTGAGTTTAGGGTTAAAATATTATGCTGAGATCAAAAACTGTACATTGTTAATATCTTACAATCTATTTTAAAGAAAGCAAAGACAGATGATAGATTAACAGAAAGTACAGACACAGTCTTATCACTTTTTTATCATCGGATTATTATGTATGTGAATCCACTGAGAAAGTTAATGTCTGATTGTAAAATGGAATAATCATTATTTATTATTTTAATATTGTCATATTATGAGTATTCTACTTATTTAAGGCAACTGAATATTTATTTCTCAAACATTTTCAAACAAGTAGAATTTTAGAGTATGAAACTGCTCCAATTTCAGTAGCTGAAGATGGCTTCAAGAAAGCCAAAAATATTTTTGAAATATATGTGCTACTTTCAAAATATCTTTATGATGTGCTACATTTGATTTGACTTCATTGAACAAAAAAATTACACAATCTGCAAAAATAAGGTTCTGTATATATGGAGGTTAAAGTGACAGTCTAATATTGATAAAGTGATATATTCATTATCTACTAATGTGATATTTAGTTTAGCAATAAGTTTTAGCACATCATTACATGTAAACTTATAATAATCTTGTAGATGTGCAGCCAGGATTTTATGGATCTTACTCTTCAATGCCCTTGTGGGAATGTGGCTTTAT